ACACCCTATTACGAAGTTTGTGTCTTATGAAAGTGCGATCTAGAACAGTGTACTCACACGAAATTGCTGTTTTTTTTTCATCAGTAATTAAAAGATTTGATTACCGCTAAAAACATATTAGAATTTGACAGAAATTCTTCTTTAAGACTTAAAAAATAATTAATGTTGAATCTTAAAAAATTAAATAAAATATTTTTAGATTAAAATATTAGGACATTTTGTAAAATCAAAATAAGTGGAAATCACGACTCTACTGATGTAGCATAAATTGATAAAGGATTTTATAGATGAAGGGAAGCGAAAGAAACTATTAAATATTGATTGACGCGCACACTGCAATTGAAGACAAGAGACAGCACGGAAAGGATTCGTCAGGGGGGAGGGACTGAAAAAACAAATCAGTTTTCCGTATACGGGGCTTTATTGATTAAGTAATCTTAATACATCGCTGGGCCGCAATGTACCATAAAGAGAGCGGAACCGGAAACGATCCATTCTTAGCAGGGAATATGCTTTGTCGGCGGTGGTCGCTCTCGCCGCTCCGAATTTCTGCTTTGATTAATCTACTCCGGGCTTTTTCTGCCCGCGAGAGAGACTTATCATCTCGACCGGCGATGCACGCTCTCTGGCAAGCTTCCAGAGCACACTCTGCACTCTCAGGTTGCTGCCGTCTCGAGATATCGCGCGGGTTACGGGTTACGGGTTACGGGAAAAGTCGACGTGCCCTTATGAATCCCGGCCGTTGCCAAACGCGACAAGAAAACCGCAAAGACCGCTGTTATTGCAGTATACAAGTTGCGTAGGAAAGCATCGAGTTTCGGTAAATTGCGACAAAAGGAAACTCGAAGAAAGCAATTCGTGTTGTTTGTCCCCTGCAAAATAGCCAAACATGTTGTGACGACGTTTTTCTAGGACATCTTTCGAAAATGTTTAGATCAAAGATCTCGCGAGAAAGTAGTTCTATATTGTCAGTTTTAGGAGAAATAAAACGGATACTTATCAGAAATGGTATTCGCGAAACGCTTTCTTTTATCGCGTCATACGTTGAATCTTCTTTAACTCGGAGTAGATCGTTGAAAAAGCGCAGAATGCGACTCTGTGTTTTAATTATCTTACACAATTATTGTAGCTGGATATCGTTCTTCGTATTTCTCAAACGTCATTCGAGATTTAAGCCGGTCCCTGTAAATCACTGGTCCCAAATTGCCGCTGTCCGCGTACCGCTACGATCCGTGCGTATTTTCCTCGTCTCGTAATCCCGGGGAATTTACACACAATTTCAGGACGCGACGGATCGAGATCCATCCACGGCACGCCCGACAATGTTTGCACGACAACGCTCTCGAGCAACGCCAACGACGGTCGACGATTCGACCGTTCGACATCCGTCCGACTCCTTTGAAACTCCTAACAGCACAATAAACTGCCCGCGGCGGAAAGTTTTCGGGATTGAAAAAGTTTCGGCCAAACTTCTGCCACCCCTCGACGCGGACGGACATTCAGATTTCCGTCGGACATACCGAGAGAATACCGATCGAACGAGTACTAAACGCGCCTTTCACCCGGCTCTGAACAAAAACACGTCGAACCCGAAATAAGTTAACGTCGATGACTTATTTTCTGCAGCATTTTGGAATACAGGTTTTACGATATCTTCTTTTTGAGTTTATAGACGTATCTGACGTATAATACGACTGGAAGAAATGTAACACAAGTTTATAGCAATATTTGGATAATATATATTATAATAATAAAATAGTGATTGGTTACATATAATAATTATTTGCAATAATGTGTGAATTCGAAACTTAAGATAATGTTATGGTTAAAATGGCACAATCGACGATAATATTGTATGTATCAATATTTCTGTAAACTATGGTTACGATAAGTTGACGTAAAATGCAGTAGAGTGCAAACGAAGGCTGCTGAACGGCGCGACGGGGGGCAGAAAAGAGCAACGTTGACGCGGAATCGATACCAATTAGGATGCTTCTTCCGGTCACGCGACTTAGCACCCCGGCATAATGTCGGCACGTGTCGAGAGTGTGGGACTTTAAAAAAAAATGATAAAAAGGGAACATCGCTTCCGGTATCGGAACAATAGCGATTCGCTGAAACTTGGTTTAATGATCTCAAGGGTTATCGAAGATCATGCTGCTGCCTTCTTAGGATTTTTTGCTACAATTCTATCGAAACAATCGACGTTCACTTGCGAAGCGTGGGAACAGGTGAACGGGGATAGATATCAAAGTAGAATATCATTGAACATGCAACTTAAAATACACAATAGAGCAGAAAATAATACATATATATTGTTATTCTTAACAAAAAAGATTTAAATGTAATAGTATTTTTTTAGGTAAAAAGACCCAAGTGCCTAACAATTAATTAACCAGCAATATTATCGATTAAAGCGAAAATGTATAGAGCCCAGATAGACGGAACTTTACGGACATCTCGTTCGAGCACGCAATTCACCGGTCGTAGTTTTACGTATCGATGGACCGAGCAAAAGAGCTTTGCGATAGTCGTCGCGCGAGGGGGTAGAGGGTTAAAAAAGAGTCCGCGCAAACATCTCGTACATTATACGAAATTTCCACCCCACGGAAACCAGCCAATAAAACACCCCCGGAACACGTCGTCCACTCGTCCTCCCTCTCTTCGTGCGCCCATAACTGCATTGTCGAAGTTTTTTTCCGTTTTTTTTCTTCTCGGCGACGTTCATCCTCGTTCTCTTTCTTCATTCGCTCTCCACCACCACCCCCTCCTCATCTTCCGCCTCCCTCGTCATTCGGTATTTTTCCTTTTTTTTCCCTGGGTTCTCGAAGAGCGCGCACACCCCCTCGATTACATTCGGAAATATTAGGGGACGTCCCGTCGCTCGACAAACTATCAATTTATTTTCGGCTATTGATTGGGATTGCCCCGGCGCGATACAGTGCCAAATTTTTATCTTCTCGTATGTATCTTCACGATGTTCGCGCTTCGCGATGCCGTTTGGTATTCGACAATTTAAACGAACCGTTTTGTGCTGTGCGTTAATCGAAAACAACCATCACTTGCATGCTGTTATTCCTACAACAATCCTCGTCGAACTGTAAAAAATGCTAAAAATATAATAGAAAAATTGTGGAATAAATAAAAAAATACTTTTTAAGATAGGGTTCGACTAAACGATTGTCAGGTCAAATCTCGATTTCGTGCACTAAGCGCGCTAACGGTATGCAGTAAAACATGCTCCTTGTCGACCGCGGTAGGTACGTGGAGTAAAAGTCGGTGGACTATGTCCAAATCTATAGATTACGGCTGGTCATATAAATCATGGACTCGGGCTCGGTAGCGGGTTGAATGTTATCTCCCGCTTCCGGTTCGGCGCACCGCCGACATTTCGCGCACACCGCCGCCCGCGCTCGCGCTCGGAATATTCTACGTGTGGGGACAGTTTCGTTTTGTACACAGCAGCAGGAGAAATCGCCACAAAGCATATGCTGCCCGCTGTCCACTCCATTTACCTCGCTACATCATCCGCCGTGATGCGGGACGGGGAGATAAGGGACGCGGAGGGACCAAGGGAACCCTTTGTATCACCCCGCGCCGATAGGAGAAGTGGAGCAGCGATAGATATTCCTAAGTGCATCTTAATTTATGTCTTGTACACGGTTCACGTACTCGCAACGTAATATACAATATGACCCGTGACTTTAGTGTTAATAACAGATTCTTTAACGAATTTGGAGAATCGAATTTAGAATCTTATCTTGTCAAAGGTATTGAGATATCAATGGTTCTCATGTTATAAGCATGTTTCAGAGAGGCCTTTTTACACTTTATGTACACAAATAATGTTAACAGAATTGCGGTAAATAATAATTTTTGCATAACACTTTTGCTAAGAAAAAATTGATTCCAAATTGATAAAAAAATTTGTTATTGAACTTGTGTAACCAATTTTCAAGTTTCTCTATAATATTTAATATTCCAGATTTAAATCATAAGAAAGGTGAAACATACATTTATAAATAAATAATTAAATATAATTCAGATTGCAAGAGATAAAAATTTCCGATGATAAGACTATCGCTTGATAAATTCGATACAGATATGGGCAATCATTATTCCTGTTTTGGCACATTATCAATTTTTTGTAAAACCCGACTGATTAATAAAATTCCCCAGAGCTGATATTGATCGCGTTTTATTACACGACTATAATCGGATAAGACATTATGATCGCAGATCGATTAATTTAATCGAGAAAGGAAAATGTAAGATAAGAAATTTGAATCCTCTATCAGTTTTTTGTCGCTCGAGCGAGCATGCATGTGGCGTCATAATGCGAATAATGAAAAGTTTTTCTGGGGGTCGCAGAAGTCAAACGTGATCCCCATCGAGACTCGATGGGGCGCCCTCAGGAAATCTAAACCGGTAACAAGATGGCTGCTCGGAAACGGAAACCGGAAGCTTGTCACTCAAGCTACGCGGACTTCCGGCGTGTCCTGAAAAAAGGGCAGCGCTTCTGGAACGGTCGAAGAAAGGGGGAGAGAGAGAGAGAGAGAGAGAGAGAGAGAGAAAAGAGTAAAGGACGGGATTGTTTCAAACGTATTGTTTCATTATGTTCCCTGCTAAAAGTAAAAGAAAAACGCTACAACATTAGTAAAATCTTTAAATTTTCTATCACATGTTCTTCTATGTTAGTTATATCAAAAATGATGATGTAAAGAAAATTAATTTTGCAGCAGAATTTTTATAAAATGTTATTTATAAAAAATTAAGTAATTATTATGCACATTTTGATTTTTATATGAAATATACACATTAGACAATATATATATATATATATATATATATATATATATTTTAGAGCATAAGAAATGAAAGAAAGAGAGAAAAAGAGAGGAAGGGAGATAGATTGATCTTTTGGGATAAAATTGATATGGAGAAACAGACAATAAGAATTTAATTTTTTAAGATCCGGATTTATTAAATATGCTTCTGTGATATATTAGTTTACTATATATTATACACAATGTACATATATACAACTTACATATAACTAATTAATTAAGTAAGGACGAAACATTGGGATATTCTTGCGATTACTCGCAATGTTAGGATATATAATATATCCTCGTATATAATTCTCTGATTATTGTAGTATTATAATAATCGTGAAACGTTGTTATATTAGTATAGTACAGACGAATTCAAATATTTTAAATTTAAAATAACGATTTAAAGTTTATTCTAATATCAACAAAATTTTGCTCTCCTAGCAAGTTCTCCTTTCCTCAAGTTCTAATTAAATTTTTAATACTTTTCAAGTACGTATATATATGTAACGAAATCATTAACAAAGCCGAATTTTTTCCGACAGAGATATTCAGTTGTACGCTATGAAAATTGCGTACTCGTTAATCATATTCCCAAACTGACCTTTTTTTCCACGGAAATCTATTACGAAAATTGAAAAATATCAGAGTATAGAGCCACAAAATTATGTAACTATTTTGCAAGTATAGAATTCTATCTTGGAAATCTATCAAATACCATATATGGCGAATGCTTTGACGACATGAAGAAAAAACGTGCACAGTTTACATTAGTTATGTGTGTGAATCGTGTGTGAAGAAATGCCTATATCATAAAAATTTTTCCGATGATCGAATTAGCGAATCGCAATTAAGCCACGAATTCGACCTCTTTCTGTCGTGGTAGTAATCCATTTTCGTGCGATTTACTATCATTCCGAAAGAGTCGTTAAGTGCGCTTTAATGTTTAGTTATGCGGTATCAAGTTAGACGTTATGGATTTTATGATTAATTTGAAACTCCTTGCGCTTACGAGATATCCCTTCTTGTGACACACGCTTTAAGGACTAATTTGAAATCTACATACGTGAGTCATCATAATGCGTAACAGTTTGTACAAATATTCTATTTCGTAAGAACGCGACACCGATATCGTCTAATGAAATTTCTCTACGCGTTTTCTTATATTTATAATTATTTACCTATTCACGTCAAACCTAACTCATTAGACGTGAAAACGATCTTTGGTTTCTGACAATATTACTGCGTCTAAATTCTTTATAAATATCAACACTTGCCGTAAAAACTTTCAAGTAATCGCAGTCCTCTGGATCTCAATTATCTTCGGTTGAAGAAATTATGAACTCGCGAAATTACAAGTTGTGTTTTTTAATTATCTGTTACTTCGTTAAACTACTTTGCGTTGCGACGTTAAATCTTTCGCATTTACTTGTATCTTTAACGATAAAGTTTTGTCAATTTTCGAATTTTCAATATCAACATTTCGTCTTTCAGCGTAAACGACCGTGCATACGTATTGAAGCTACGTATTACGTTCTACGTTAATGACTAATATGTCACGATATTCGCTCGTCTTGAGGACCATTATAGTCCCATTGTGATATTACTGATATTTTTCAAGACATATATCTCGACATATATTAATTAATTCATAGTTTCTTTGCCATATTTTATGTACGAGATATATTCACCCATCATAATTATTCCAATTTCTAATCGAATTTTCGAAATTGCAATTTCGTTTTAATTCTCACAATTTAGAATTATGAAAAAGTTCAAAGATATTAGATAAATGACATATTGGATGAAAGAGTTAGATAAGAAAAATCGATATTCTTAACTTCATTCAACTTTGCCGAGATATTTTTCTAGAAATGTACTGACCAATTTTAGTTCTGCTTCGGGTTCGTTGGACGCGCGTGTTAAACACTCGTAAAACGTGTTTCGTAAAACGTCGTATTTCACCCAATTTTACTTTGAGAGGTCCGATTGTGTGTACGCGCGTCTTGAAATACACACGATAGTTAACATGTTTTCAAACTCAGAGATTTAGCTTTTTATCTTATCACATATCTATGTCTGTAATTTTATTCATTGCATCAAGGGTCTGATTAGATATGTACCAATTTTACACTACAAGTCGAATGTAAGAAAAGTGTCTCAAAATTTCTTTGCCAACCATTTCCAACTAATACTTGTTAACCAGTTTATCTTTCATTCCTCTGTTGACACCGTCGATTATACCGAAATCATAATCGTTATATCGCTATCGCAAATCATCACGAATCTTCGAACACCTTAACATATTCAACATCACTGCCATAAGATCACCCATGCCTTCCATCTTGAATTTCTTCTTCATCTATTCTTTGTATCTTTACCATTTTTTGTCGCGACAGAAGTGTAATACAAAAATCGTGTCTTCATCGATACGGGAATTGCCATCGATTCGCGTAATAATTGTGATCAGCGTGAATCACCATCGCCCCGGATCGTTTCATTCTAATCAGCTAGACTAGTCATCTTACCACCAATATTTCTGCATGTATGGCGCCATAGGGACCTGACCGCTTCCGGGATAGGCAGTAGGCTCTATCAACTTGGATTGGCAGGGTTTTCCGTCTCTGACTAGCACCGGAACGGCGACCCTTCTGGGCGAGCAGCCGCTGCCGCTGGCCTCGACGCGCTCGCTCGCCGCCCTCTTCGTCTTGTACCTGTGATTCTGGAACCAGATCTTCACTTGGGTCGGCGTGAGGCGAATGATGGAGGCCAAATGCTCTCGCTCGGGCGCGCTCAGATAACGTTGCTGACGGAAACGTCGCTCCAGCTCGTAGGTCTGTGCCTTGGAGAACAGCACGCGTCGCTTGCGCTTCTTGTGCTCGGTCTCGTGGGGCTGCGTCGTCTCGTTACCGGTTTGTTGTTCGTCTTCGAAGTCCTGCGATTCTTCGTCCTTCGACGACTCGTGACTGTTCTCCTGCTGCGATGGGAACGACATGTCCGAGATCGCCGGGCTCGTCGAGTCCGGTTGTTGGAGAACTGAAAAAGCGAAGAAGGAAGAAATTAAGATAACATTTTCTCATATTCTAAAAGAATCTTGTTTTTATTTTTTCGCAGCTGATATTCTCTCAAGAGTATTATTTGTATGAGATTTGTAACGTACAGATTATCTACAGCTTTAACATAATGTACAATAGCATTGACCGAAAAGGAGAGAGAGTTAAATTTTTTTATCATTAATTAAACTAAAATTTTGTACATTTTTTTGCGAATTATACGTAGATTGTCGATGTAGTCAGGCCACACTGCAAAGTGTGTTATTTTAACTGAAGCTCTTCTTACACATTTCTTGCCGTTTTAAATGACGTCATTTAACACGGTTGGACGTATTAATACGATTAAACGTGTTAATTTAACACGCAACAAAACATGTAAAACGAGCTTTAGTCAGTTTTAAACGTTTATACGTGTAGAAATAACACACTTGGATTTACAGTGTATTATCAGAATAAGTTAGATGGAGTGATGCATGTATAGTGTTTAGTAATCAACCGCCTCAATTACTTGATTGGTGTTAACGAACTGCAGCTGCATTTCGATTCAGCCGTCGATTGCTCTTAGCGTTGATTACTGGCAGATGCTAGCCTGCATTGATTTTTTAATAGTTTTTCTAATCATACATTAGACAGTTAATTCTCGTATCCATTTGTGCTGAATTATAACCTTCCCGTGGAAGCGTTATTTTTTTAGGATATAAATTTTTCTTTTTATCCCAATATGTCTCTTATTCCAATATTTAAACTATTGTTTGTAACATTAAATAACGAAGAGAATTTATTTAATTAGTTGGGAGAATAGAAGCGGTCGAATATACAAATTGTTATAATTTGCAATTTAACGTGACATAATAACGGATTTGATTTAAACAATACGTAAAATATATGAAGCGATGATGAGGCAAATGTCATTTTGCTGACGCGGTAATTATGCCACGAGAAATACATATACAATAACTTCATTTAGCGAAGTGTAGGTAAATGTTACGACCCGGCCGAGATACCGGCTAATTTTGTCTACAACGTCGGGATACTGGCTTTCGCCGTAGTACAATATGCTTTTGTGAGCGACCCCTGAAACCCGCTTGGGGAGGGTGTGAACCAATATAAAGCCTATTTGATACCCCTGCTGGACCCCATGGGATCAACCATATCATTTTCATGGGAGATTAGACTGTACTCGCAGTCGCACTGTGATTTCAATTAAACACTCGCCGCCGACTAATGTCTCCGACGCTATACGCGATGGCGAAGAAAGGGATGATTTGACCGGTTTTTTTTATAAATCTGAGTGACAAAATTATTTATTAGAAATGAGTTTTATCTTTGAGCATCAGATCTAAAATACACATACAGTTGCTGTGTTATTTGAAGTTAAAATTGTTTATTGAGAAATTTTACGAGGAGAGCAGATCAATTTGTATCGAAGGAATTTTACACATCCTGCTTAAAATTTTAACATATTTAATGCGACGGACGATGAAAGAATCTAACATAAGACTAACTCGTACAATTTTCCAAGATCATCGCTCAAGCCATATTTGACTTTGTCTACATTTTTTACAATTCAGTTTCGGAGAGAATTTAATGTAATACGCTATCCACTGAACAATGTAAACGTCCGATATAAAAGAGATCCACTCAATCGTGCTTCTCCCCTCTTTACCTGCTACAGGACCGCAATTATTCGCGCACGATGCGTATCTCAACGGTTCGACACGTTGCCTGGATTTTTCGCTCGTGCAAACCGTGTAGCCGCGGAAAAAAGGAGATGGGAACGCGGGATAGGTCACCGACGAATTTTTTGGGCGTGACAATACCGATTCATTGGGGGAGGGGGCCGGGGACACGGGGCCCCTCTCTCGCATCTGTCCCCGACTCAACATCTGTCCTCCTTCGCGGACCAATAGCTGTGCGGTACCCACGAGGACCTTTTACAGAACCATTAGATCCTGCTTAACCCTCACGGACCAATTGTAGGGTGCTAAATAAATAAGGGTTTCCATCTCGCGCTGCTTTCCCTCGTCCGCCCGCCCGCAAAAGCGCGTGTGCGTCGCACATCAGTGAGGAAAGGGAGCGAGAAGACGTGCGTCTCAAATGATAATAACTGCAGCGATTGAAGCCGACCGAGCCTTATTCCTTGGGTGCGAGTGACGATTTTGATAATGCAGAATAATTGATCTATTTCGCGCACTTTCTTTGAAATTTAATAATTATTTCTTGATGTAATTAAATGCGCTATCGAAATTATACGCGATGGATGTTATAGTTTTGCCGCCGCGTGTATCCTTGGTTTGTAGACAATTAAATAAAGAATTGTATTTGTCCGCTCACCATTCACTTCCTCTAAGGGTTGAGGTAATGCTGTCGGTAGTGCCGGTCCAGTTGGCCATAATAATCCAGGTGGAGGCGGTGGTAGCGTACCCCTGTTCAGATTAGCGTGCATAGGTTGCAACATGGCGGTTGTATGCTCGAGAAATTGCTGGTAAGCCGACGGCACGTCGTTGGCCGTTGGTAAAACCGTCGTGGCACCTAGAACAGAAAGTCCCAATAAACTAATTAATTTTCTTCTTCCATGGCATACACTTATGAAATGCGTATAGCAAAGAAATTTCGGAAACTTTGCAATTTATCTGATTTTAAAATCAGATTATTTTAAGATTGAAATCAAATTGACTCATATTTTAAGATATGAAAACTGTATTATTTGGTAAATCTAATTTGCTTTGCGTCGCTTTTTAATGTAAGAAATTTATGTCAGATTTGTTTCTTTTTAATTATGTTTAGTTAATGATATCAAATGTTTCTTTTTAATTACGTCTAATTAATGTAATAGTTTTGTTGTTACCTTGCACATCTGGTTCTTCTTGCGACGGCTTAGCATCGTTTAGCTCCAAAATGTCGCTGATTGCAAAACCAGAAGTTCTAGCCGGCATTTTCATACTTTCCAATAGCCTGTAACAAAAAATTACATAACTGCTATAATTCCAGCCTCGAAGAAATATTAATAGAAGAAATTTTGTTATTTGTTCTATAAAATTTTTGTGAAAAATAAGTTTGTATGTAAAGATAACGTGTAACATTATTTGATTATACATATTTTGACATTTATGTGCACTTATCAATTAGTAAAATACTTATTAATGCACTTTTAGATCTTGTTCACGCGTTATTATGATATCAGATATTGATATCACCGTTAGTTTTTACTAATCCTTTGAAATGGCGAGATATATAGCGATGAATAGATTGATATGCTTCGGGTATTAAAAACTTATGATAATACTTTAGCAATTTATTAATATTCTGCATATGTTTTTTATTTTAATAAACGTGTATACCGTATATTTGCGGTAAGTTTGAAGGGATCTCAAAAATTGGCGAACGGATTTTGCGAGAAAGTCGGACACAAAGATCACTTCTTTATAGTAAGATTTATTTTTCGAGATCGTCGCTGGTCTTGAAAGCTGTGTGACGACCGTCAAAAAGCCACCAGCCCTTTGAAGACTAGACCGATTAGAGAAATGTCTTTAAGGGTACAATATACCTGCGCACGTTTGATCACAAACAACCTGTCTTTGGACCTGTGTATAGAGCGAATTTTTGGGTCCGCTTCCTAAGCCAGATGAGTCATTATCGCGTCACGTTCGGCCATATGCGTTTCAAATATTCCCGGCATGAAACGCGAGTTTCCGAATAAGCTTTTTACGAGTTACACATTCTTTACTGCCGCCTGACAATTCTGATAAATGCAAGAAATTCGCGACGGATTGAGACGATGATTATTTGACGATTTTTTGTTAGACTTTAGTTCGCTTCACATTTTTAGTTACGAACACGTGATTTTGGTGAATGCCGATTATTGACACGGTTTTTATTTAACAGAATTTTATAGATGCGTGGTTAATAAATTAAACTTCCATAAGTTTAATTAATTTATTTATTTGATTAGATCTATAGGCAATCTTAACTTAATTATATAAAAGTCAAAATAAAATATCGGAGAGGTAATACCGTCATTAATCAAGCGTCTCACAAAAAGCCGCTAATTATTTTTATAAGTAACCAGCATTGAAATCGCTCGCGATTTCAATTTCTTTTAATTACAATGCTTCTTACATCATTTTAATTTTGCCAATAACAATTTTAATTAGAAAATTGTTATACATAATATGAATTTAGCTTTCATCATTCGTTTACAATAGGATTTCTATTATCACAGGATATCTATTATCCGGACTATTCGAGGATGAACGATTCAAATGAACGATTGCTTCAGATAATGACCGATTACATTCTAAAAAAAAAAATTTAGGAAGTATATTGCATATGATACCTTTTGTGAATATAACAAGACAAAAATTATAAATTAATTTCTATAATACGTCTGTAGATTTTAGACTATTAATATTAGGATTAATAATATATATCCACAGATATGTATTGCCTAAATGTGCTTGAGTAATCTAACACAAATGTGTGTTTATTTTTATTTACTAGAAAGAGATTCGGATCCTAATAATATTAAGCATTGTTAAACAGGGTTAAAATAATCAAACGTTTAATTAAACGGTAAATGAATTCTAAAAGACAGAGCGAAAAAGTTTAATTTGCAAATAATGAAATGCAATAGTAATGAAAGAATTATAAAGTGATACACTTTAAAATGTAAATTTTCAAGCAAACATTTTTTTAAAACATGTTAAAGTAATTACAAGAAACATTTTCACTTATCAAGAGGAAATATTTAGATCGGAATAATGTAATTTTGATTTTTTTATATATTATACAATGTTATTTGCTGATATTGCAACATTGCCTATAGAGTTTAATGTACGTGTCTTGTCATGTAAACATAGAGTATTGAGTGGCGATTTTTCGGTGTCGCGTGTAAGGTTTAATCGATAAGTGATGCGTGTTCCAGTGAGCATTAAGAGTATCGATAGCCGACCGGATATTTGGCGATATCGCACGATAATGCACGATATATCTTAATGAAGCCACGTGCAAGAACTTGAGGGCTGTAAAAAACCCGTCGCGCAAAAACATTGCTATCGACAAAGCCTGAGTTTTTCAATCTATTTATCGAACACTTGCTTATTTATTGTACATTATTAAAATTTAACAACTGTGCGTTCTTACAATTGCTCTCGTTTATATATGGATAATAATTATTATTTATTACGATTTAATATATTTGATACGTGCATCGATTCTCTTATTTTCTTATGATAAATAATTTCGGAAAGAAATAAAAAAAGCAAAAGGAACTAAATACACCAATCTTTCATTTATTTTATTTACCTAGTGTTTAATGCGAGTTGACTGTACCAGACGTGATTCAAAAGACTAGCCGGATACGGTAGTAACGGCCAGGGTAAAAGCTTATTCTTATCTGCCATTTTGAGAAGATTTCAAAGATTTCGATTCGTTCTTATTGGCATCAATACATCATTACATTCGCCTTTAACGATGGCACATCTTCAAATTTAAAAAATCTCTCTTAATTCATCACGTATTTTGATTTCTGTCTATAACTTTTGTTTTCTTCTCTCGCTTGATCAATAATATTAAATGTTGAAATTCTTCTTTCTTAACAATTTAGAGGATATCTCCTTTCTGTCTTCTTTTCTTCTTTTATTTCATTGTTCTTCTTTTGTCTTCATTCGCCTTGAATAATACAGATAGAAACTGATGAAATTTCTCTTTTCTGTCTTTCACCACGTGTATAGATTTTTAATCTACAATTTATTTGTTTTTACTTGAAGAAAATTAACGGCACATTATCGACGGTGTATTATCTTTTTGTATTTGTATCTTTATTTATACTTCTTCATTTCTATCGGCTTGAGTAACTTCTTCAAAAATCTTTCTTGTTTTTTCAATTTTTCCGTGATTGCCACTGCCCATGATACTTTCGAGATTCTTCTTTCTTTTTCACTTTCTTCTACCTTTGTCACACAACACTGTCGTAGGTCTTTATTTTACCATAAATAACTATGACGTTTCACACAATGACAGTTCGAATACGCGCAACAAAAGTCTAGCACACGAATAAACTAGTCCAATTAATCAAATCACTGATACTCGTGCCGTTTTCTCGAGACAGTCGTAACTATCGGTCACTTTCACAAATAATTATCAATGGGTTGCACGAAAGGCGACTCGGGTCCGAGCGGCACGAAAAGCAGGCTACCGATTCCTTTTCGGAGTAAGCTGAAGGACTCTCCTTGTAGTTTTTGAGTGTCCTCGACGAGCACTTGACGGCTAGTGTTCCCTACCTCGAGCAGTTTCGCTTGTCAAGCACCCTCAAAGCGCAGGGCGGGTTCTACTTGGAGGCGGGGATTTCTCGTTCATCCCCCCAGTTCGTTCTCCTCGTCGCGTATCCCTCCCTGCCATCGATACCCGGCGGTAACTTAGGGAAGGTTTTCCACGGGAGAAACGCAGAATAGCAAAATGCTGTTGGTTTCTTTTTTATTGTTGTCATCGTCTTTAGAAGTCTTATTTATTTAAAAAATAAACGCAATGTCGATGATAATGTAATTTTTATGAAAATTCAAATAATATTTTATCTTATTTAAACTATAAGTTTATTAAAATTAAACTGGCTGATTTTTTATCTGTATAAAGTAATCTATTTTCGACGATTGCAAGAAAAGCAAAAAATATTTGCAAATTTTTCAAGAGATAAACTGGTTTCATTGTGACTGCATGATTATTTAAAGATTTCTTTACATATTAAAAAAAATTGTAATTTGAATAGTACAGTCTTAATACAATCTTCTTTTTCAAAATGTAATTTGAAGTGTAGTTTTAGCAAAACGTTCGCTAAAGAAAACTTCTAAAAATTCTTAAAATATTTATCGCCGTATTTTTTTTCACGTCTGTCGCGTCTTGTTAAATTTTTACATATGTAAGTTTCACACTTCTAGCATTCGCAATCTAGCAGAATCTCGCCACTTCGAGCGATCTTGCGAAGGATATCCCTCGCTCGGGAGACTCCGTGCGACTGGTAATGTTACCGGGGCAAGTTGCCGAGGGGTGGTACCGTCGGTCGACCAATGGGGTGGTCGCGTGTCGAGAAACCCTCGCCCGACAGCCCGGGGGTTGATTTCAATCCAGCCCGGCGAGCGAGCCAATCGCCGGGCTTCATCGATCAGGGGGCTTTTTACACCGAGAGCATACTTTACGTCGAGTGTTAATGTGAAAGAGCATTAGCGGTGCTTTTACTGTGTCATTTCGATTTTTCACTCGCGCTCTCTCCCTCTGCCCCCACCCTATTTTCTCCCTTTCCTCTCCCCGTCCCTCGTGGCACTCAGATCGCTGCCTATTGATACGCAAAACTGGGTTAGAAGCGTGGTCGCGACTTACGGGCGAGTGTTACACGAATGTGAACGAGATACGTATGATCAGTCGGCTCGACTGTGTCCTCTTTTAGGAGCTTGTTTGCTCGAGTAAAAAGCCGAAGGCTCGCGAATTCGAGTATAATTGAAGCTAAGGGAAATATATGACTAAATTTTACGAAAAACGAGATATTTTCGCAAATAAAATATTGTGCGTTTGCTTGCATCGTGTACATCATTAATTTAATAGTACAATAATATTAAATAAAGTCTTATAAAACTAGAGCGATCGTGATTCTTTCAGGCATAGCTTACTGAAGTAAAAATCTCCAATAAAAAGACACGAAATCAAATTGAAGATGTCAATCTAAAGCTGTGATCGAAGAAGTAAAGTAGTACGGAGTAGTTGGATAAGAAGTCAGATTTGTTGCGACAGTTAAATAAACTCAGACTGCAGACTGTCAGCATAATTCAGACGAAGAGTGTGACGGCTAATTTTATAGTGAGACATTTATTACGTGCGCGTTCCGTGACGATCTCAGTCCTTTTTTTTTCTCTCCAATAATCACGATTTTCGCGCGCGCGCGCGCGAGTAAAAAAAGACATGTCGGTGTGCAACGACAAGGCTGACCTGATTTCTTTTTTACATCCACCCACCCACTTATTATTCGCGGACACGCATTTATTACGTCGAAGCGGCAGATAAAGCCCGTCGTTTCGCGATTATCATTCGGCGCGACACGTATCATCATCCATCGGAATTACGGGCATAAAAATAATTTCGCGGGCCCCGATGCGATTTGATCGAATCGAATTCGCTTCGTCACCTTTTTTCCCCAACGTTTCGATCGCAGATAAAATATTATCGCGGTAATACCGAAGTCATATTACACGTCAGGATTGTACAGCATTATTGATTACCGAAGATGTCAAGATATTGTCGTGCGCGGGACAGAATACTTTGCAACATTTTTCGTGCAACGCGTGCACGGCGAAATCAACGTGTGCCATTTTGTAATTCTGTAATGTTAACGAAGATATATAAAGGATAAAGGGAATGAGGCCTTCACGGTGGGAAAACGTTTTTCAAAGAACGCGAATTTCATCACAATCCGCGTTCTTTGACGTCCCTAATTTATCTTAAACATTTCTCGGTATCTGTTAAATTTTAAGAAATATTTGGGTGCTCCGCTTTAAACGGGAGGTCCACACTTTTGATCTCCCGATCGAGCCGACTCTCCGAAATTGATGATACGTCGGACTCGTCGGCGTCGGTGAATGGAGTCGCAGGTTGTATCCAATCGCAAGAAGAGAGATGCCCACCTGAATGCGGGCACTCACAATAAATGCACGCGCGTACTGACGGTAGCACGGTGGAAAATGGGGTTTCGAAAAGCGCGATTTAGAAGCGAGGAACAGGTAAAGGGACAGGAGCGACGATGGGGCGAGTTTCCGGTTTATTCAGACCGGTCTTCGTACAATCGCGCGGCTCCACCACACAGAAAGTCAAAAAGTGCGGAAGAGGGTGGACCCGACTTTCCTGGTTTTCTCATGGCCGCGGTTAAATTTATATCTGGGAAATAAAATCTAACGGCTACCGGAAAGCAGGAAAACACTTGTATTTCTCAGTGGTCAAGATGCTGACGTTCAGTTATTTTATATCTGAGTTATTACTAATGCGCGACGATTATGAACGCATAATCGTATTAACAGTAATAATATAAATAATAAATATTTGTAATAATAAATTTATGACATCAATGATTATGACTATTATTACTTTACAAACTTTTCGCAAGTAAAAATTCTGATATGTGATGAGAGTAATTATTTAAATAGGAAATATTATTATAAACGAATAATTTTTTGTAACAAAGATTTAAAAGTACGTATAAGAATAAATAATTATTACTTTAAATAATTGGCGTCATTAGAATATTTAAGAAATTGGAAATAAAGAGCGCGTAAAATTGATTATGATATGCAATTGATATTAATGTTACAATATTGACAAATAATGATCAAAACTATTGATACGAGGTATCATAGTATTTTTAAAAATGTTATTGCATGTGCTATAAGATCCTTAGTTTATAAAAGTTCAGGATGGCAGTTTAAGAGTTCGAACGATACGTGCATTGATTCGTTCGATGCACATCGCATCGTCTAACTCGGTTAGAATCGTGTTCAACACGAGAAAGAGACCCGCGAGACGTCCATCGTTTTTCTCGGATTTCTCGTCTCCCCTCGACCCGCTCTTCGTCCCGGAAGTTCCGAGCGTTGGCGGGAAGAAATGGAGAAGTCTCGAGCTCTCCGGGCAATCGAGCAACATTTGCTGAGCTCCCACGACTGTTTGGCGATAGCTGTGCCAACTTGTTTCGAGCACGCAACCCAATTTGTCTGCGTCTCATTGTTTTACTGTTCTCTCCCTCACCCCCGCCGCGTATAGTCGCTTCACCGGTGCAGTTGTGCCCGCGAATTATTGCAACCCTCCAATGATCGAGTGGAGTCTTCCCGAACTTTCTAGTTTAATAACATTTTTGGATGCAAACTTGCGAGTGCAAACGACATGACGGGGATTTAACTCGATATTTTGAAATACTGCTTTTGTTCTAGTTTTTTTTTTCGTTTGTAATATAATTCTGCGGCTTTAATGGAAGAAGATAAATCATATTTTGGAACAGAGTCAGACATTTTTAGTCGCTATAAAAGTTGGTCACGTTACGGCAATATTAATTTGAGAGGTGATAAGTGTCATAATATTACTGAAATTTAAGGTATAATATATTTTTGTCTAAGTTCTAAGCAATATCTTAATATCCGCTATTTATCAAAGAAAACATAATCTAGGTTTTCTTCTGTGACTAATTGATTTCATCGCTGACTCAACCCTCATTTTTACGTTGTAGTATCGCCACTGTCTTCGTATTAACACCCGTGGAAACGAACCCTTAGCTTAAATGTAGCAGTTAACAGTTTATTGCTTATTGTCGCGAGACACATAATTTTATTGCCACCAAACAGCGGTTCAAATTAACCAGATGGTCAAACGAAGACCCTTCTTTCTCGTTCGTCTTCTTGCTTTTCCTCTACCTTTTGTGTCCGAAGTGGCCAACTATCGGTTTATGTTCTTTTAAAAATCACGAAAATACTTCCGACGGATAATATCGGAAATGTCTTGAAAATCTGAAAAGTAAATCCGACGGATTAACTCGATCAAAAAGTATAATAGGTTGGTTTTTTCAAACTGGATTAACTCGGTGATCAGCTTGTTAGACCGTTTACCTTTTATATTTTTAAACACTATAACAATCGGCATTTTAAACTTAACATTTAAGTTAATAAACAACAGATTGTCAGTTAAATCCATTTTGTAAAATTTCTTAAAGCCATACAATAAATGCTTCTGTTGTGCACGTATAAAATTTACCGATAATAGTAACTTGTAAATATATTAAGGGAATTTTCGGAGCAACTTTGGGTCTTATTTTATTATTAAACAGCAAATTTGACTTATATTTTTAATAATGTTTGATCGAACAATAATTAATAATTTAGTTTATATTCAGTATACATGTGTGTATAATATTTTAGTAATAATTATTAGTAGATATTGCGTATAAAACGAGAAATAAAATATTGCTTTTTTAAATGCATAGATATTCTTTTCATCTTGAATCGCCTGCAGAACCGAATGGAGAACGACAGACTTCGGAAGGCTCAAAGCTAAATTTCATGAAAATACTTGCCGGCCGAGTGGCCACTTGACACTTCGGGATTTTCTTATTTCTGGAATTCAGGTGTGTCCCGGAAATGGGAAACGTGTCACGATGAATGACCATTCACCCATTTGACCGGATATCTTGCTATTAACATCACAATATCGATACCTGCCGATGCCAGCAGCCGAAAGAAAAACACCTGAGATCGTGCCGACCGTCCTTTATATTTTATCACCGGTACGCGTAGAGGAGAAATGTTCTCTTAAGTTTTCAAGTAACCCTGACCACATCCCACCATTCCAGAGCCATGAATTTTTTTCCTCGGGATATCGCATTTGGAACGCAGATAATTTCTTACTAGTATATACGTGTGGTCAAGGTTTGAGCTAACATTTGCGCTCGAGCACCTAGTAACCTCAGGCTA